GACTTATAAGTAAACTGAACAAATAATTCTTGGTTTGCACATGACGTCACCAAAAATCAAACTAAGAAACTATTGATTCTTCTGAGTTTCTACTGTCACCAGGTATTACAGCACCTCAACAAATTACATAAACAAATTTTTGGTTCGGAAAGGTTCTTCTTTTTGCGAGAGAGGACGCTTGAATTTCCAGGCTTTTGCGTGACGGGGGAATTAAGCTGTCGGCCGGGAAAGCTCTTATGTGGGTTAAAAACATTACCGATTTTGGGAGATTTTGCTGTCAAAACATTCTTTGTCTCAGAATAAGCATCACTTTAATATTTATGAGTTCCTCAAGCGAAGAATTCACGCATTAGTAGGAAAACTCGAAAACATATGTTTCTGTTTGTTTCCGGCGGCCATATTGGTGTCCCTGAAGGGACACCAACATGGCGTTTCCATGCAAAGCCTTATAAATTTGGGTAAAACTTTTTTCCGAATATCTCGCATTTATTATATTGCACTGACCTGACTCTTGGCAAGGCGTTTTGTATCTTTATCTTCTTTCATTTCCCAGATTCTAGACTTTCTGTATTGAATGGTTTTGCATTTTTATTTATTATGGCGTGACAGTGCAAACCGAGAATAGGGATATTATGTTAAACTTTAAGTCTACCCTGTAATTGACTAACAAAAAAAGGTATTTTCCCTTTCATGAAAACTTACCTCTTTGTCGTGAGAGCGTAAATAATAGGATTTACCATGCTGTTTAAGTGCATCAGGAAAAATGCTAAAAAATGGGGCCAAGTGCCGTGTATTCGAGAAATTCTATGTAGCAGCATTGGAAAGACACCCATCAAGAAAAACGCCGCACAAGTTAAGCCGATGGTCTTCGCGGTCTTTACATCGCTTTTCACCTGTTTCACCGAGGAACGACTTGGTTTGATGTGTTTGTTATGTGAACGCACAGTGTACCAGATAGTTCCTCCTAAGATAAGTATGACTATGAAGGGTACTAGATATCCTGGAAGGAGGAAATGTCTTCCAAATTTCTTTAAATAGTGGATCCTGTACACCAGCACTGGAGCGTCTCCTAAATCAATGTTCAGTCCCATAGTGAACATACCATAGGTATAGGCAGCTGCTGAAAACCACACAAACACAACCGCTACTTTCGCTTTGTTTACGGTTTTCCACGTATGGTATCGGAAACTGAGAACGATGGCTCCAAATCGATCCACTGCGAGCATTGTGAGGCTAAAAACAGTGAGGTACATGAACAGAACGTACAATGTCACAACAAACCAGGAGATTTTGGGCCCCTTGAGGTAGGGAACTTGACAGATGTACCACAGAATCATAAGTGGCATATTAATAACTGCGTTCAAGATGTCAACTACAGCAAGGTTTACCACCAAAATATTGGGTACTGTTCGCAGTGTTTTAAACCGGACAAGCAGCAAACAGATTATGCTGTTCCCTAAAATTGATCCTACCATAACAAAAACAATCATGAAGATGTGTATCTCGGCATCTTTATCAGGGCAAGAACTGTTCATAAAAGTAGAATTCATCTTTCTTCGTTCGACAACTTCCGCTCTTAAAATTCAATCCAAATCTTCGTTATGTTTAGGGTCACACGGACATTCCGTAGATATTAGGTTCACGCGGTCTTCTTTCTGTTATATTCGCTGACGGATAAAACACTTTACTTCAGGTGAAGTAAGAATCAAGTCTGGTGGTTGTATCTTATCCGCACAATCTGTCTTTGATTTTAAGTTAGCAAATTAAGGAGACGGTGATGGAAGAATACTAAATGTCTTTCGTTATCTGTAGGAGAGGCTTCTGATCCAGTGGGTGGACAACTGAGGAAAAAAAAAAAAATAAAAGTTCTATTTGCTGTCAAATAGTTTTTAGTTAAATAAGTGAATATACACATTCTGAAAACGTTAACAGGACGTTAAATTGTGAATACTGTAGTATAACAATAAGGACAATCTGTCAGATGCATGTAAAGCCTCATCTATGCACGAAATTTCTAAGGCGATGTTTTATTATAAATAAAAGACAAAGTTGCGCAAGACGTTCATTTAGTTATAAACCTCGGCTTGGACACCAGCCTGTTGCAATTATTTGTTGCCAAGGTCAAGCAGCAAGGCTGTTCAAATAAATAACCCTACTAAAAAAAAAAAAATATAAATATATATATATATATATTTTTTTTTTTTTTCTTTCTTTTTGTTTAAATTTTTATTTTTTTTTTTTTTTTCTCTCTATAAAAAAAAAAAATTTTTTTTTATCCTTTTTTTTTTGTTACTATTTTATATTGCTTTCTTCCTT